CGTGCGCAGTCTTGGTTTGCGTACGGAGACACGTACGCGGACGTGTGATTCGTTTCTCGGCAGATCCTGCCGCGAAAAGGAACGTAATTTTAACGTTAACGCTCCCCGGCTATTGATGCGCGTATCACGCTGGTGTCAACGTTAAGACCGAGCTGAATTCGCGGATTGTACGCGGAATGCGCGACTCGGAGCGCGATAATATCCTACGGCGCTGCTGTGTCTTCTCGCCGCGAATGCTCCTGCGTTTCGTTTGACGTTTATTACCAGGGCGCGAAGAAGGATGCATTCATTTCCGGCTATTATCCGGCGCGCAACAAATGGCACTTTATTTACGAGAAAACGACGCGACGCGTTAGAGGACGTTTATTAATGAGCGCCGGCTTGTTGTCTCGTCAACTGCTCGTCGCGCGAATATCCATTCGCGCCGAGTTGTATTGTAAGACCTTCTGTAAGACCGTCGCTAACAATCCGATTATCGTTCTCCCTCGTGAGAGGATCCTGCCTACCGACATCCTTATGCAAGTGCGACTTATCGTTCTCTCCTTCTTCCTGCTTCTCGGGGTAAGAAGCAACCGCGACGAAAGTTTCTTTCTACTATTTGGGAGACAAAAATCTCCGTCGCGGTGTCTGGCGGAATCGCATGAAATTAATCATGCCGGACCCGCCGGACAAAACGAGCACAAGGCGCGCGGTATCTTGTTCCTTACACGGCCTTTCCGCGAAAATAGCGGAAAGATATGAATCAGTCGCATAAAATTACACTCGAAATAACGAATTGTACATGATTATTCCGAGAGAGGGAGAGGGGGAGAGAGAGAGAGGGGGAGAGAGAGAGAGAGAAAAATAAAGAGAGAGCGAGGAAGGAGGGCAAGAAAGGAGAGAGAGCTACGGGTCAACGGGCAAAAATTTATAAAAGTGTTTTCTGAAAAAATTTCATTATTTTTATGCCGCCGTTCGCGATCTGAAATTTCAATTTAAGTTAAATAGCCGTGTATTTTGGTATGCAGATGAATGTATTCGAAGAATCGTGCGCGGCGAAGTTTCTTCTTGGGGAGAGTTGCGCACCCCTCTTCCGCTGGCGCTTCTTTGTAAAAATCCCGGTCGGAAAAACCGCCGAGACACATTTGAATGAGCGTTGACGCGGAAGATCATTGACATATTTCGCCAGCGCACACATCGGGCCGCTCGATCGCGCTCACCGCTCGCGTGTATTTAATTTCACGTGCGAGCGAGATAGTTTCTAATATCCATCTTCGCGACAGTCGATATAATTTATAGATATCCGCGAGTAATTGTGGTGCCGCGAGGAAGTTCGAGTCGACCTGAATCGAACGTCTCGGAACTAAACTGAACTGACACCGTTCGCAAAGTAAGCCGTTTGTCATCTTAATCATCGTCGGAGTGTCATTATTCTTAAGCGTGTATAATCGGAGGTGAGGATAACCGCTACCACGTCGAGAACGCGTTCGACATTATCTGCAGATATTTTCCAGTCCGAGCTTCATTGAAAGTTATTCGCCGCGGTGCTAGCTGGCAGAGAGAAATAGAAAATTCCCGGTTTGGGGGCGAGAATTCGCGTGAAGATGGCGGGAGTTAATAGAATTCCGTGTAAAATGCCAAGGATGATGCGGCCTCCTACGTAATACCGCCATGTGTCATCCTGTCGAATATTTCACACGACAGAGCGCACCGCCGGCCGATATTCCAGTGGCGCTGCAACAATTTGTTGTTGCCCGTTAATGAAACGAGCGTGCAAATGTGTCTATTTCGCTCTCTATACACGATCCATTAATCAATAATTTAATCGACAGAGTACTTCTTTTTAGCCGGTCGCAGAATATCCCCGCCACCCTGAAACGGCAATAATTCTTCAAATGTTATCATCCGTCAATATTTTTTAGTTCATCTCCGGTGGGATGATTACGAAAAATAATTAATGCTTTGCGACCGTGCGGATTTCTGCACGATGTTGACAGTTCGCTCGTAAATATTAAGCGAGAAAAGTTCGTGTGCCAACGGTTAATTACAGTCCAATTTTCGCGGTACAGTCTGATTTTCGCTCTACGCTTTGCACTCCACGGTAACGGTGATACAAAACGAAAAATAAAATCGCGAATGTTGGTGTTAAGAGAAGGGAAATAGTCAAAACACGAAAACATCATTACGCATTAGCAATCACCGGAGAAAAAAATATTCGATATCCCTTCCGGTGATTTTGCCGAACAATTTGAAAACGAACGGATGAAACCGCAACAAAATGTAATCCGTTTGTCAAATTTGATGAAAAAGTGCGCTCCCACAAGGGGAGGGGGGGAGGTGAGAATCGTTTATTGTTTTCAGTTTAAAAGAGTTAATCGCTTGGCAGAGGTTACTGAAATCGAGTCAGACGTATCGATGGTCCGTGTGACCAACGATATTCGAGAATATTCGTTTATCAATACTCTTCGATATTTCTGCTTTGACACTCGCAGATAAATGAGGAGGACGCGTGCGCGCGTGTGCGCTGTAGCTTCGCAGTACGACTGTTCGAAAACAATGCGAAATATTGAACTCTCGCATCACCGAGCGACTGGCTGACAAACCTGTGTAATTTTCAATTCGCGTAACAGAATAGCTACGACAATTTTCGGTATTGTTCTGTAGAACAATAATTTTGCGCGATGTGTTATCATGCGTGTAATTAGAAGATTCCTTCGCGAAACACTGGCCAGGTGGACTTTTATACTGTTATATTTTACAAACATCACAAAAGCCGCTCTCGCACAAAGTAACGCAACATTTGCCACGTTTGCTACGCGAACATTTCAAGAAGGAGATAGAGAGAAAAGGATTAAATTAGAACATACATATCTAATGGACCGTGTAAAAAGTAAATTGTTCACTGTGCATGCAATTACGTGATAAAGCTGACTACATAATAAACCGTGATATCAATTAATCACGATTATAACAATGTGTGTAATTTACGCGTGCAATATGGCGCCTACGAAGCGACGACGAATCGAGCGAAATTATTACTGCGCGCATATATTCTCCCTCGCTTCTCGAGTCCTCGGAGCGCGACGAAAAATATACACGTATAGCACGGGAGAGGGAGGGGGGAGGCCTCGATTATATTTTTATTCGCGCACCAATTCATCCAGAGGGAAGAATTAAAGTATACCAAAGCAAAGGCGGCAACGGCCGGCAAGAGGATTTCCGCGGCGGCGCGTTGCTAATTTTATTAAAAGTAGTAAAACGCGGCGCACGAAATTATAACTCCCCGAAACTCGCTCCCTTAATTGAGGAAAAAGTTTGGATCACGCCGCAGCAGGTTCCATAAACGGAGCGACGACGCCCATAACCGACTAGCCAGCCAGCCAGCCAGCCAGCCGGTGCGATCGATTCGCCGTGCCGACGAAACTTTCGTCTATCGGCCGAAAGTGGCGGTTTCGTCGTGGGCATGCCTTTGTATTCCGGCAAAATTCGAAATTAACCGGGCTGAAATGAGATACCGAACTTGAACGCACGCGCGCGCGCGCGCGCGCTCTTGCTCGCCTTGATGTTTACACGACGCGTTTGTCGTAGCCGGCGTCATTATACCTGAACTTTGTCCGAGAAACCGAATTATCCGTAACGCGACAAATTAATACCGCTAAGGGTGGATTACTTTCATGCAGAAATATCCCGAGAATCGAGAGAAGGAACCTGATTAAAAAAGAAATACATACCGCACTGAATGATTAATGTTTTCATCCCACAAGTTCTTGTCATTTGGAAACGGAGATAGAAGCTTCTTTTCAAGAGGCGGTTGTATTCCTTGGTGAAATTCGTAAACCAGGTCGGGTAAACCACTATTTCTCGTTGCGCAATTTTGATCGAGCCAGAGTCTAACGAATTGGTAATATACGCCAATCCTGACGTTAATCGCGAACGGTGTCGTAACTAACAGCGAACAGCTATTGTTCGGTGATGATTACGGCCGCTTCAGCTCAAACGATCGAGTTTAAACGCTCTCAATGGCTTCACATTTACTTGTGATAATTAATTCTGCATAATTTAGGGCGGCATCTTCCATAAGTCTGCTGATGGTTAAGCGAGGCGCGTAAACAATTAGAGGATATGAGGGAACTCCTACCGATATAATACGATATGATAACATCGTTCGGAACTCTTGAGTGTTCCACCGTGAGTATCTTAGGCTATAGTTTGGTGTCTCGACTTAACCGGATTTCCGTAAGCAGCTTTGTAACGGAATCCTCCATCGCCCGAATTTAACCCCCTCCCCGTCAGAGACGTGCGACCATCAACAATTTTTCATCGTTTATTAAACGCGAAATACGATGAAAATACGACCGTATAGAGCACTGAGCTGTGCCATCCCCCTCGTGCTTCTCATCCCTTTCGAAAAAAAGAATTCTGTATCTCTTGCTCTCTTTCCTTTCACAGAGACGCAAATTCCCGTCCCCAACGGAGCTCTTTATATCATTGAGACCGCATCTGTACGCGCGCATCTGTAAAGAAATACAAAGCGCGGGAAATAATGTAATCTCTCTCCCTCTCTCTCTCTCTCTCTCTCTCTCTCTCTCATCGCCTTTTTATATGCGCTGGACGTCCTATATTCCCGGCACGTCCTTTCATCTGGTCAATTCTTTGATTAGTCATTCTCGAGAATCCGCAACTCTCAAACGCGCATAGAAAACCGTCGATACGCATTCACGCGATCTCCCGGATTCTCGAAGTTTCATTTTTGCGCTAACCTTGCAAATTCCATCGAACCTGAAAGACCAGTTGGACATTTCAAAGCGTTGTACAGGCTATTACCTCCCCTGACACTATCGTGCTTCGTTGGGGCTTGAGAGAAACTTATCTACACGGTGATTGTCGCATTTGATTTTTATTGTTACCACGTTCAGAGAGAAGAGAAACACGCGGTCGGCGGCGGAGCGTCCGCGCGCGTTTTTGACTCGCGCAAAATCGAATAACAGCCATTGTCGCCGTTGTTAATCAGGAAATCCGCTTTTTGCCACAGATCTGACGGCGGACGGCTTGCGGCCACGCGGCAGACGCAGTTTCTCAGGATGTACAATTCCAATGAATGCAGATAACAGCACCGGAGGAGAAGGAGGATCCGATTCCGAGAACCGCCGAGCACGGAAGGTAAGTTCAAAGACACGCTCCGCAGCCTCTCTTAACCCTTTGCAATAGAAAACCGGGATGCAGCCGTGTCGGAATAACTCGAATTACGACCGCGCGAGGGCTTAATCCGCTCTCGTACTTCCATGTACGCGCGCGTTTGTTTGTTCAATCGAAGTTCCCGAGTTTAGCCGCCGAAACGGCTGTCTTCGCGGTTGCGTTTCGTCGCAATATATTTATTTGCGTTTTATCACGGTACGTGTTGTACACGTCGAGAGATTAGATCGACAACATCACGTATTTACCCACACACAAACAGCACTTGCCGGGCAACTGCCGGGCCTTGGCGAACGCGCCAAGGTCGCTCGAGCGTCGCGGTATGATAACAACACAATAAATATCGGTACGCGAGACACTCGAATCGTCACAACAGTGTTAGACGCCGCGATGAGCGGATCGGGTCGCGTCGCGCGCTATTCCCGATCATTCTCGATCGATCGCGCGAGTGTACGCGAGACACCACGCGTACGATACCACGCGCACACTGTCGTCGTCCTGGATCCATCGTGAGTCCCGGCGGTAACGTGAAATTTCAGAGGTGAGATTACTTTTGGTTACATGATTAGTCTGTTTTTCGTTACCACTAAAATACGCCTGAAATAAGTATCGTGGCTCGCTGATTAGACAACGGCATATGCGCGATATGCCTTCGCGCGCCGTTTATTCATCAAGAGACTTCTCTATCGCTACGACTAAGCAGGAAAATCGATTTCTGTTTCAGATCTCTGGTGAAGCTTGTGGCTGATGCAACGCTGGCGCTGGCGACGCTGCTGCGAGGGGTGCGGACGCTGCACTGGGGGATCCGGTTCGGGCCAAGCAGGGTCGGCTCGAAGGTGAGTGTTTCTCGCTTCTCCTTCTTTTTTCTGTTTTTTTTTCTATACGGAGTCTGTGTACTCGTTCAATTAACCTTTTGCGATCGAAAGCTGAGATACAGCTGTCAGAATAAAAATTGGTCGATTGCGATGGCAAAGGAACTAACTCGTTCAATATCTACGCGCGCTTGTTCGTTATAACGTGAACTCTTAAATCTAATCAGCGAAACTACATTTTTCTGCTCCAGATCCGAGCGTGGCGGAACGTGGCCGACTCTGAGTCTGCAGTGTTCGGTGAGTCGAAGAGATACAAAAAGGGTGCAAAAAATAAATGGTGATGGGATACGCGAAAATCTCAGGAGATACGAGATCGCAGGTGGCGAATGTTTTTCTTTCCTTATAAAACTCGTGTTAATCAATGCGATTTAGTCTGTAGTCTTTTTCTGCTTACACGTATGTTGTGAAAAAAACATTGCTCGAAACAGTCAGGAAATCGGTTCTTAAAATTCCGAAACTTACCGGTAGACATTTAAGGATGTATTCTTCCGTGACCTTTTCGATGTGTAATAAACATTCACACGAATGTGATATTTTAGCCAGTAATTTTTTCATATCTGGCTTCTCAAGTTATGGAATGATCGGCCGAGAGCTATTCTTTCATTGCGATAGCCTATTTGTTTTGAGCAATGCATAGTGCGCATGGAAATTGCGCCACCGCGCGCCATTGTGTGCACGGAATTCGCGATTATTTTGCTCGCGCTGATAAATTTCGCGATCATGATAAATGTCGCTTGGTCATGAGTTTTCTAGATTTTTCACACGCGCAACCGCGTTGCTATTATACGTTCCGCGAGCGAATATGAATTTTGTTCAATTAAATTCACCCAAATATCGCGAGTCACGATTCCGCATATTTAACGCATATTTATCTGATACGCGCGTATGCGTGGATTTTTCCCATCTTCAGCTTTGTACTTTATAAACAGAGTATCTCGCGCAAACGTCGCAATATTCAGTAGATATTATTCGAAGGAATTATACGAAACGCCGTAAATATTTATTCGATGTCTTGTGAAGGTTACGAAGTCAAAAGGAATTTGTTTTTCGTAATTGTTTTTATTTCATCCTCTCTCGCGTACGCGTACGAAAGATTCTCTTTCGTTCTTTTCTCTTTTCTTTTTTTCTAACCGTTGAAACCGATCGTTTCCGACTTTTTATATTTTCCTTCGCGTTGCAACTACGTTTCCCTCGGAGGAATACGGAAATATTTCGCTAAATTAAATTCATGCAAGTAGCGTGCAAGTAAATTTCGTAGCGGCATCGTGAAAGAGTATTCTCCGCTAAAATATAGCGGAGCTATTTTCGCAAAAATATTACGGAGCTATTTCCGCAAAAATATTGCGGAGCTGCCTTTTCGCCCAAGTATTACGGAGCTGACTTCGCGCAAGTATCGCGGAGCTGCCTTCGCGCACGTATTGCGAAGCAACTATGCATGAACAGTACACGCACTCTTGATAACTCCGACGCGTAACGTATCGACAGATTTCATGATTGGCGCGCGACCGATGTTTTTTTTTTTTGTGTTCGCGGTTCGGTTATCTGCACGCCCATTCGCGTCGCAGTTACTTCGCTCGCGAATATTAATTCACGATTTTCATTGTCGTCTCTCGACACGCGATTCGCGCCGCGAGTGCACACGAATGGCATAAAACGTCACGTATTCGCCCAAAAGTATCGCGGTCTGCAATTCGCGACTTTTCAAGCGAGTCCCGCGAATTGCTGGCATTGTTCCTGAATTGTTGGAACCTGCCGTGCCGTCATGAACGCTCGTTAACCGAATTCGCGCGGATCCCGATTTCGTCTCGAGATCAGTCGGAAGCCGAGATATATTCGTTAAATACCGATAAAACGTGAATATTAATCGCGTCGCGAGTGAAGTGTGAATTAAAGTGAAGCGAAGCGGCAATCAACGTGGGACGACTCGATGGACTTGGCTGGACGTCGAGGGACCGACCGAAATGGTGAGTGTTGAAGTTCAACACTCGCAAAGTGCCATATTATGTAGTGCATGCATATAAATCGCATTGATTCTCGACGAGAGAAGTAAAGGCAGTCGCGTGTACATCGCTGTTTAAGATCGCGGACGCACATTCGAGTGCAAGAGATTTGTGTGGAAAGTGGATTTGCGCGCGACGTCCGAATTGCATACAGAATAAATATTGAATCGAGCCATCAGCGACTGCCCTTTCTTTCTGAACTTTTCCATTTTGTACGTGTAAATTTCTCCACAATATTGCCTATCGAAATTGATATATGTGAAATACCGATACTTCGAATTTCGTCGAATTTGCAAATTTCATGCTGAACCAACATTGCGCCTCGCCTCATAACCCGATGTGTATTCATCGTTATTAATCACATCGGATTTTCTCGACGGAGAAACATTCGTAATATAAAATTAAGTGACTCGCTTTATACCGCAAACGCCGCGCCGCCGTCCGGTGCAGCGTCGACTTTATCACGATTATATCGCACCGGCGCGGCGAGGACCATATCCGTGAATTCCAAGTAGATTTACTAAATAACGAGGATCTCCCCTTCTTAACGAACTCCGCCGGCTCGTAAATTTATTTTAATTTTAAGAGCGAAAAAACGCCGCGGTCACTTTGTACAGGAGAGGAATAGCGGAAGTTGCCGGGGGAATAGTCTGCTATTCCGAGACTTACGTGAGAGAAGACGAGGGCTGGGACGGGGAAAAACTACATTAAGTAGCAGGCAGGAATGAAAGAAAGTCGACTCAACGCGGCAAGAGTCATCGTGGGCCCTTTTATTAAATCATGCGGTCTGAATAGGGTGTTTTACTCTCTCGTTGATCAAACAACTTCGTAATGCAGAAATACGAAATACCACTTCATCTTTGACGCGCTTGCTTCCTAAAATACTTGACGCGTTTGTCGCACGCGTGCTATTAGTCGCGCGAAGCGCAAAATCGAGTTTGAAAAGGCTTACTCCTTCCATCACGGCGCATTAGTCTCGGACGTTGAATGTTTCGCCAGCGAAACTCGGCTGCCCCTTTTTTTTTTCGCCGGAGAGTCCTCTCGAAACCAACCGACAAGACAGAAGCGCCAAAGAGAGATATTTCGCGCAGCGTGATTTCACGAAGCTCTTCAATCCCCGCTGATACGCAATTGAAAAACTATCGCTGACTGTTTTCAACAATCGCAACAAGGCCACGCGGCATTTCCCTCCTTCCTTTCGCGCAATCCCTCGTCACGCGCGATATATAAAAGCACGTATCGATAGCTTTCGCTGTGCCCACGCGCGCGACTAATAGGATCCTGCAAAATCTCCCGCGCGCGTCAAGCGTCCGCCGCTCAGGAATACCTCCGTTATATCGTCCGCATTCGTATTTTTTCGCGTTTTCGCGGGATAGCTACGTACGTTTAATTGCACGCGTAAGCCCGCACAAAACGCGATCCGATTTATGCCGTCGCGAGCGTTCCGGTGAACGGAAAAACGCCCGGCGCTGAGAGGAGTAAAACGGAAATTGCGGCGAACACCGCCGACCCGTAAGTATTCATAACGTTCATCTGGCTTTTTGCGCGCTCCGTTATATATAGGCATTTTATTGGGTGCATTTGGATTTACATGTTGCGCGCGCGCGTTATATTATCTCCGTTTTTAAACTCGAAACATTCTGACGCGATTAGGAAGAGATAACTCGCGACGCGCAGCGTTTGCATTTACATGGTGAAGAGGGGGAAGGGCGAGGGGATGAGAGAGAGAGAGAGAGAGAGAGAGAGAGAGAGAGAGAGAGAGAGAGAGAGAGAGAGAGAAAGAAATAACGGACAAATGAGCATCGTGAAAAATTGCGTGCATGCTTTACGTCGGACTCTCCGCCGGCTCTCGCGATGAATAATAATTTCCGCAACGAGGGTAACGAGTATTTATTTTTTCGCGAGCACTCGCGCGAAGAATCGAGCCGGCGGCGGACGAGGCAATCAGTTTCGCAGCGACAAATTCTTGCCGTGCAGTCTCTCGCGAGCCCCTCCGAAACCGGGGCTGTGACGCTTGAGAAAAAATCCGAGATTTGCGCGCTGCGCGCAATCCGTCGCGTAATCCTATTTAGCCCCCGCGTTTCATTACTCCTGGGAGAAGAAAGTGCTGCGCACACCGGCGCACGCCCGAGATCCGCGGAATTCTCCGTTTTTCGCAACTAATCGTAACTTTCGGAAACGACCGAGAGTAGTGTGGTGGAGCGAAAATCGCCGGGTCGATAGGATTTTCACGAGGCGAAGGAGCTAATTATTTCGCGAATTACGCGGGCCACGATGGGAACGTTTTCGAGCGCGGCGCCAAGACGACGACGACGACGACGACGACGACGACGACGACGACGACGACGACGACGATGGTGATAGTGACGGTGGTAGCGACGACGGCGGGGTGGCGGCGCTGTTATAATTGAAAAGCTCAAAACCGTAATTACCCGGCGGTGCGCTTTCGGCGCGCAGTGGTCTTGCACGCGAGCGTGTCGTAATTGCATGAAAAGCTAACGCACTCCGCGCGAGGCAGAGAGCGCAACACCGACGTTCCTCGGGTAGCGCTGGGTAGAGAGAGTAAGCCGCGGAGGACGGCCGGCATTCCGAACTGACCCGAGTCTTAACAAGACGCCTACGTGTGTGCTTAAATTAAATCGCCGCTACGGCGGTGTTTGCACGTCGCGACATTTAATGCATACTTAGAAAGTCCGTCGTGGATGCGCGCTCGGAGCGCGCGCGCCAGTTGGCGCAACTCGCCACCGCCTGAGTCCGAAGAGTTCGGACCGTTCACGTGGAAAAGGAAGTAAATAGCCGCGGGTTAACGCGCTGCAACGGCCACCGCTGTCCGCATTCTCCGCGCCGCATTGAGGAATGTAAAATCTCGCGTGAAACGGCTCTCTAAACAGGTGTGAGCAAGATGCAGGATTCCTGTCGCGATTCGCAATCGCGCGCGTGCGTGCTCTTGATCGTTTTCAGAGCCGTCGTGAGAGGAGTCGTTGTTGTAGAGCTCGACGAATGTCTCTTTAATTACGCGTAGATTTCGACGAGATCGGCCGCCGTTTATCGTGAAGATCGAGTTTGGTTCGTACCGTTGGGTTCATACCCATCTCGTGTCGAGGAAGAAATTGCCGAGAAAGTAAACGCGTGTACTTTGTATCCGGGGGAAAGAGACTTCAAAATTACCTCGAAGCTCGCGGAGAATAGATTGTTCTGCCGTCGCTTGCGTTACTCTCAATTCGTTGCGGTGAGGAGAAAGATTAATTCTGGGAAAAGTATCGTGGTTGAGTAGTTTATTCCGATACATCGATCTGACGGCCGGCTCTCCAGCGTGCCGTGTTACATCTACAAGCTGATTTTACAAGTTTGAGGGATTTGATAGAATAGCGATTCTTCGAAAGTAATGTACTCTGTTACCGGCATTTCTAGTTGAATGTAAAATGAAGATTTTAATTCGCACTTTATG